GAGAGAGAGAGAGAGAGAGAGATTGAAAAATAAGGTCCTCTCTGTCAAATGCCTGGCCAACATTTTTGCTGTTTTCTATTTTTATCTCTGGTCCCCAGCCTTTCATGGCTCCCCCTGTTCCAGGACCTTGGTTACCCTTGGGAACACAATTGCCAATGGATGCAGAGCCTGACTTGAGCCATCTTGCTTCAACTTACAAACTGTAGAGAGCCATCCAGCACAACGACTACTCGGTAAAGACAGATATGTTGTGTGGAGAGCACAGGAGAAGGTTGGGGACACCCAGGGATGTCCTGCAGGCTGCTGTGGAGACAGCATGCTAGGTAGAGGAAGGACTCTATAAAAGCCAAGGTACAAGGGAACACACTTCACTCTGAGTCAGCAGGGAAAGTCATGGCCATGGTGTAACTAGAGAAGGGTTGTGCAGCCAGATGAAAACTATTTGTGTAATGTGTGGTACTTGGGATAAGCAGCCCATAGTAGGCCCTCAAGAAAAAGCAGCTGAACCAAACCCATGCAACAGAATCACGAGGCCTATACACAGAGGGTCAACCAGGCTAATCTACTTCAATCTTAGGCTATACGACTGAAAACCCTCCAGTGTTTGCCTGCTACCAATTGCAACTCTTCTGTTACGTCCCAAATGGTCACATACCAGCCATCCCTTCTGTCATAGGCTTTCCTATATCCAGTATTTCATACCTACTGTAACATCTACCTGACCATCCTCCCGCTCAGTTCCCTCTGTGCCCAGTAGCTCATTTCAAACACCTTTCTCCAATAAAAAGTCATTTGCCAACCCCTGTGGGCAGATCTCAGTCTTCTTGGAAGCCCCTGTGTCTGGATGGCAATATGAAGTCCTTATCTTTCTGCATCTCTCCACTGGGACCCCCTGCATGCTACTGGGACATGACTGAGTTGCAGGAGCCCTTCAAGACCTTCAGCAATGATGACTCTTGACATTCCTGAGGGAGCTTTCTCGAAACTGGGAAGGACTTGGCTCCAGTTTGAAGTCAGAATCAAAGCACAAGTGCCTGTACATGTTAGAAGAATATTCCAGGTGATTGTCAAAACACCAGGAGATAAAATCTTCAAAGTAGAGAGGGTGGGTGGGTGACTTTCGAAAGAGGAAAGTCATGGGCTCGATGCTATATTGAGAACGGGGGCGGTGTGGGGTGCAGCAACTCGAGCCCTGGGTATTTAGGACTGGAATCAGCTCCTGTGATTTGAACACTACTGGACCAATGCCAGTCAGTCCCCTACTGCTTCCTGCCCCCAAAATGTCATTAAAATCAACACCCCTGTTGTTGCCTCTCTGCTATGCCCTTGTCTTTGGAGGCTGATCCCTTACACTGGGGTCTTGGGAGAGAAGGTGTGAGTGTATGTCAACTGGCCAAATGCAACTTCAGACCCTTTAGACGCCAGCAATGAAGAAGGAGATGGGCAGCTACCTAGAAAATTCCTGGTTCTTCTCCTGTTCCAGGGACTGTCCCTCAAACAACTCACTTCTGATCCCCCCTCTCACTATGGCCAAGGCAACTCCCAAGAAGAAAAGAGGAACTCATCAGTACTTTGTCATGCCGTCTCTTTCCAAGTTCCTCCAGCACCTGGAAGGTAGTAACCAAAGGTAGGCTCTTATCATCCAACAACTTCATGTTACACGTGGCTACCCCAACACTATTGTCAGGGACCGCAGGCCAGGATCAAGTAATAGATCAGCAAAACCACTGTGAAACTGAGCAAGCAGATGCAGAATGACCCACGATGGATTGCTGAAGAAGGAAGTGATCCCAGTGGTGACCATTGTTATAATTCACACAAGAAAACCTTCTTTTTTTGCTTCTGGATGAATGCTTGTCACTCATCTTTCATTTGTTAGGTACCCACTGGGTGGTGATGGGAAGCAGGTGGCACTCAGCCAGGATGGAATCAACCTAAGATGAATCCACCCACCAGGGCCTGGTACTGTCCAGAGGTATTCAGCCCAGCACTGCCTACTGCATGCTATTTAGTTACAGGTCAGCTAGTCCTTCCAGACCAGGCCATGTGTTCAGCATGGCAGAACTGCCTGATCCATCTCTATGATGGAGTCCTCTGTACATTCCTTCAGGGAGAGGAAGAGAGCAGGGCCGAGAGCCGGACATAACCGCATCTCAGCTCAGTTCTATCACATCACCTTGGGTGGGTAACACAGGCTTCCTGGGCTGTATTCCCTCTTGGACCTAGTACAACTCTTGTCATTGCTTTCAAAAGAAACTTCCTAATCCTTAGCCTAATTGTGGATTCTGGGTTATTGGAAGGGTTCCCTGAGATGGGAGAGGAGATGAATGCAGAGAAAAATTGCATCACTGGAAACTACTGAGCACCTAGCAGAGGTCAGGTACTGGGGAGCCAAGTGAATCACATGGGACTCACATTTTATGCGGGGGTAGAACTTGGGGGTGTGGTTTAAGTATGGGAACTGTTCCAGAGGAAACAGTGTTCTGGGGCCTGCAGAATACACTGAATCCACCCTTAAAACTGGGTCCCCTCTGCCCTGGATCAGGAACTGCTCTGAGGGGGCCAATGGGTGAGGCCAAGAAGTGTCACCATCTCCCAGACAGGACTCCTCTTTCCAGTCTCTTTTTGTACCAGTCTGGTCCACAGACAGCAAGGTCAAGCTTGTTTCTTCATGGTATGGACACAGTGTCCTTTTGAGTCCTTGATATCTGCCCTAGGCACAGCTGCCTCAGGTAGCCCTAAGTCCATTCACAGTGAGGGTGCTGAGCACCCACACATCACAGAATCCCAAGCCCTGTCTCCCCTCCTTCCTGTCCCTGTGGTTTTCAGCCGTGACCCTTTTGTTCTTTACAGGAGACCTTTCCTGTCTATGATAGTGGCAGCACAAAGGAGACAGAAGTGTCTCTCACTACAATAGGCAGGCAGAAGGGTGCCCTGAGGTTGTCACAGCAGTGACCATCGACAGCTCTTTAATGTGTTCTGGGCCTGAAAACCAGCTGGCTGTACTCAGGGTAAAGTACAAATGTCTTGGCTGCACTTACAAAGTGCGAAGTGATGGCCCAGGTCACTGGAGTGCTCATCTTCCAATGTCCAGACCTTCTGCTCCTCCTGCCTGGAACTTTCCCCTGGCTTCATGTGACCAACTCCAGGCAGGCTGTGCCACCCCAAGGTGCTGGGAAGAGCCAGCCACTGCAGGCTCTTCGCACTGTTTTTGATTCCCTGAGATTACCAGAGATCAGGAGTCCTTCTGTGCTAGTCGGACCACTTTGTGCCACGGTCTTATCACATGTGGGATGCATCAACCACTGGAGGTGAGAGGAAGAAAGGGTTTGTAGCCACTGAGGCCTCAAACCTTAGTAGACAGGTAGGAATTATGCAGGTGGCCAGCTGTGGAATCCAAATAAGAAACTGGGGTCCAAACAAGTCTGTTTAGACTGTGTGCAACTGCTGGAGACCTGGCAATTCCTGTGTGGGCAATGTATCACATGTAGGGTCCCTATGACAGCCATGGTTTAGTAAGGTGCTCCTCCATTCTCTCTGCAGACATCTCCCGAGGGCCTACTGCTTACTAGCCCCTGCCTGGTCATTGAGGCAAGAGAAGGGGTTGTAGCACAGATCTGCAGCCCAGGGCCAGACCTGGAGGAAAGCACATCCATAAGGCAACAGCTGGCCACAGGCTGTCTAGTGTGTGGTCCAGAGGCTGAAGGCTCCTCATATAGCAGTGTGGTATTTCACCTGGGCCTGGAAGGATGCAAGTGGAGTGTGCCCGAGGGGTGATGAGGGTAAGGATCCAGCATGGTAGGTTGTAGTTTTGAGTCAGTTCCGGACCATCCTGTAGGCTGCCAGCCCAGGCTCCTCTGAATGCTACTTATGGGTCTAAAGGTTGCTAAAGTGCTGGGATAGCCTCTAAAGGGGATGCAAATACTCCCTGCTGAGAATCTCAGTGTGGTGTTGAAGGCAGGTGCTCAGGACCTTGCCTGGCAGAGTTCTCAAGGAAAATGGGAGCAGTGAGGTCAAGGCACAGATGTGGAGGTGGACTCTAAAATTGAACAGGGTGGAGGCCAGAGTCCAGTGATACAAGGTTATGTTTATATAGCTCCTCCTTCGTCCCTGTTGACTGTCACTTGTGGTTTGCTCAGGTCACAGCGTGCCTGGGTTTGTGGGTAGACTTGGAGGCCCAGGCTAAACCTGAGGACAGGAGAGAAGGGGGGCGGGGTGCTGGAAGCATTCAGCAGGGAATGAAGGAGGGCTGGTCTCTAGAGATAAAAGACAGGAATCTTCCAGGACCTTAAACAGGACAAGTC